CGCCTAGTCCGGGTATCGATCCCGAGACCTCTCCATTACAGGTGGAGCGCTCTACCAACTGAGCTAACCAGGGGTTAGACGTCAGTAGAGCAAACGGGTTTTATCAGCTGCCACCAGTCTAGCACCCACAAGGGTGAATCTTGCAATTTAAGGTTATGATTATAATGCAATTAAATGCAAAGAGGCAAGCAAGCTGGACAAAAATGATGAAAATAATCCCTGGAGAAGGGGAACAAGGGGGACAAAGGACAAACACAAATCTCCAAACACAGCTAGGTGACTGGCGCGCGACCGAAAAAGTCCGCCTGGTCCGGGTATCGATCCCGAGACCTCTCCATTACAGGTGGAGCGCTCTACCAACTGAGCTAACCAGGGGTTAGACGTCAGTACAGCAAACGGGTTTCATCAGCTGCCACCAGTCTAACACCCACAACGGTAAATCTTGCAATTTAAGGTTATGATTATTATGCAATTAAATGCAAAGGGGCAAGCAAGCTGGACAAGAATGATGAAAATAATCCCTGGAGAAGGGGAACAAGGGGGACAAAGGACAAACACAAATCTCCAAACACAGCTAGGTGACTGGCGCGCGACCGAAAAAGTCCGCCTGGTCCGGGTATCGATCCCGAGACCTCCCCATTACAGGTGGAGCGCTCTACCAACTGAGCTAACCAGGGGTTAGACGTCAGTAGAGCAAACGGGTTTTATCAGCTGCCACCAGTCTAACACCAACAAGGGTGAATCTTGCAATTTAAGGTTATGATTATAATGCTATTAAATGCAAAGAGGCAAGCAAGCTGGACAAGAATGATGAAAATAATCCCTGGAGAAGGGGAACAAGGGGGACAAAGGACAAACACAAATCTCCAAACACAGCTAGGTGACTGGCGCGCGACCGAAAAAGTCCGCCTGGTACGGGTATCGATCCCGAGACCTCTCCATTACAGGTGGAGCGCTCTACCAACTGAGCTAACCAGGGGCTAGACGTAAGTAGAGCAAACGGGTTTTATCAGCTGCCACCAGTCTAACACCAACAAGGGTGAATCTTGCAATTTAAGGTTATGATTATAATGCAATTAAATGCAAAGAGGCAAGCAAGCTGGACAATAATGATGAAAATAATCACTGGAGAAGGGGAACAAGGAGGACAAAGGACAAACACAAATCTCAAAACACAGTTAGGTGACTGGCGCGCAACCGAAAAAGTCCGCCTGGCACGGGTATCGATCCCGAGACCTCTCCATTACAGGTGGAGCGCTCTACCAACTGAGCTATCCAGGGGTTAGACGTCAGTAGAGCAAACGGGTTTTATCAGCTGCCACCAGTCTAACACCAACCAGGGTGAATTTTGCAATTTAAGGTTATCATTATAATGCAATTAAATGCAAAGGGGCAAGCAAGCTGGACAAGAATGATGAAAATAATCCCTGGAGAAGGAGAACAAGGGAGACAAAGGACAAACACAAATCTCCAAACACAGCTAGGTGACTGGCGCGCGACCGAAAAAATCCGCCTGGTACGGGTATCGATCCCGAGACCTCTCCATTACAGGTGGAGCGCTCTACCAACTGAGCTAACCAGGGGTTAGACGTCAGTAGAGCAAACGGGTTTTATCAGCTGCCACCAGTCTAGCACCCACAAGGGTGAATCTTGCAATTTAAGGTTATGATTATAATGCAATTAAATGCAAAGAGGCAAGCAAGCTGGACAAAAATGATGAAAATAATCCCTGGAGAAGGGGAACAAGGGGGACAAAGGACAAACACAAATCTCCAAACACAGCTAGGTGACTGGCGCGCGACCGAAAAAGTCCGCCTGGTCCGGGTATCGATCCCGAGACCTCTCCATTACAGGTGGAGCGCTCTACCAACTGAGCTAACCAGGGGTTAGGCGTCAGTAGAGCAAACGGGTTTCATCAGCTGCCACCAGTCTAACACCCACAACGGTAAATCTTGCAATTTAAGGTTATGATTATAATGCAATTAAATGCAAAGGGGCAAGCAAGCTGGACAAGAATGGTGAAAATAATCCCTGGAGAAGGGGAACAAGGGGGACAAAGGACAAACACAAATCTCCAAACACAGCTAGGTGACTGGCGCGCGACCGAAAAAGTCCGCCTGGTCCGGGTATCGATCCCGAGACCTCTCCATTACAGGTGGAGCGCTCTACCAACTGAGCTAACCAGGGGTTAGGCGTCAGTAGAGCAAACGGGTTTCATCAGCTGCCACCAGTCTAACACCCACAACGGTAAATCTTGCAATTTAAGGTTATGATTATAATGCAATTAAATGCAAAGGGGCAAGCAAGCTGGACAAGAATGGTGAAAATAATCCCTGGAGAAGGGGAACAAGGGGGACAAAGGACAAACACAAATCTCCAAACACAGCTAGGTGACTGGCGCGCGACCGAAAAAGTCCGCCTGGTCCGGGTATCGATCCCGAGACCTCTCCATTACAGGTGGAGCGCTCTACCAACTGAGCTAACCAGGGGCTAGACGTCAGTAGAGCAAACGGGTTTTATCAGCTGCCACCAGACTAACACCAACAAGGGTGAATCTTGCAATTTAAGGTTATGATTATAATGCAATTAAATGCAAAGAGGCAAGCAAGCTGGACAATAATGAAGAAAATAATGACTGGAGAAGGGGAACAAGGGGGACAAAGGACAAACACAAATCTCCAAACACAGTTAGGTGACTGGCGCGCAACCGAAAAAGTCCGCCTGGTACGGGTATCGATCCCGAGACCTCTCCATTACAGGTGGAGCGCTCTACCAACTGAGCTAACCAGGGGTTAGACGTCAGTAGAGCAAACGGGTTTTATCAGCTGCCACCAGTCTAACACCCACAAGGATGAATCTTGCAATTTAAGGTTATGATTATAATGCAATTAAATGCAAAGAGGCAAGCAAGCTGGACAAGAATGATGAAAGTAATCCCTGGAGAAGGGGAACAAAGGGGACAAAGGACAAACGCAAATCTCCAAACACAGCTATGTGACTGGCGCGCGACCGAAAAAGTCCGCCTGGTACGGGTATCGATCCCGAGACCTCTCCATTACAGGTGGAGCGCTCTACCAACTGAGCTTACCAGGGGTTAGACGTCAGTAGAGCAAACGGGTTTTATCAGCTGCCACCAGTCTAACACCCACAAGGGTGAATCTTGCAATTTAAGGTTATGATTATAATGCAATTTAATGCAAAGAGGCAAGCAAGCTGGACAAGAATGATGGAAATAATCCCTGGAGAAGGAGAACAAGGGGGACAAAGGACAAACACAAATCTCCAAACACAGCTAGTTGACTGGCGCGCGACCGAAAAAATCCGCCTGGTCCGGGTATCGATCCCGAGACCTCTCCATTACAGGTGGAGCGCTCTACCAACTGAGCTAACCAGGGGTTAGACGTCAGTAGAGCAAACGGGTTTTATCAGCTGCCACCAGTCTGTTGTAAAATTGTGCTGTTAAATTTTGTTTCGCTGTTTTTCATCAAACCAAGAGAAAGTTCTCGTAATGTGTGCAGATCAGAGAATAATACAAGAGCAACTTTACTCGCGTAGGAAACATAAAACAAGTTTTAGATACTACTCCTACCGTTTTGCAAACTTTTGTTGGATATACTCAACGTGTTCAGTTCAAGAAATTGACTCTTTAAAAATAACACCAACAACTTTTAATGAATTCGCAATATCTAAAGACGATGAATTCATCGCGATATTTAAACGCAACAAAGTTTTACGATTCGGTGGCCTAAACAGTACGCGTATAGTTTTGTCTCTGTTAATTTTTAGTCCATTAACTTGCGTCCATATGTTTAGGTTTTCGAAAGCAACTTCTGGCGCACTTTCGATCTCAGAACTTGTGTAACCTTCAATAAAATTAGTGTTCGATAATAAATATTAAAAACAACAGCCGCCCAGGTAGACTCCCCTGGGGGACTCCAGTCATAATTCATTTGGTTGCTGACTTATAATTATTTATGCTATCAATCTGCTTCGGATATTTCTGATATAATACCAAACGTTTAAGCCCAGTTCCTAGGATACAATACTGCTCTAATGTTTCAATAGTATGCTATGATTAATCAAATCAAAGTCCTTAGGTATGTCTACATGCACACCTAGAATAAGCTCTTTATTCTCGATAGATTTGAATACTTATTTTTGCACTTGCAGCGTTGTTTCAGTTGAACACTTGCTCCGAAAACCGTGTTGAAAATCAGGGAGTATGTGTTGTTTTTCTAGATTACAAGGAATTTTGTGGTGCATTATTTTTGAGGACCTTTGAAAAATTGAAAGACCTTTACAATTCGGTGTAATGCTAAATTCGAGCGCAGCTCTTGAGGAGGAGAGAGGGAGGGTACGAACGGGAGGTATGCCCCTCCTCTCACTCCGTACTCTCCCCTTCTCCTCTTCTCTTCCAATCCCATTCAGCAGAAAATGTTTGCTAATTTTCCCGCTAAATTTAGCGGGAAACTTAACCCTGTATATTTAGCGGGGAGACTTAACCCTCTAAATTTAGCGGGGAAACTTAACCCTCCAAATTTATAGGAAGATTTCACAAAACGTTTCCTCAAAATGGAAGGCGAGGATTAGATGAGGACTGGAAAAAAGGAGGGGGAGGGGAGGCATACCCTACCCTCCTCCTCAAGAGCTGCTCTCCGACATCGCATTACAGAAGATTGTAAAGTCTCATTTCTTGTAGCATAGTGTGTCCTAAAAGAAAATTTATTTGTTGTTGTTTTACTCATATATCTCAGCAAACGTGCTTCAACCTTCAGCAGCGTGTGCTTTAGTGGCTTGCGCTCTAGCTATGAAGAACGCATTTTGTGTTTCCTCCTCATGAAGTCTCGGACTAAAAAATGGCTAAATACATATTGACGTCTAAGGTTCCGCCCATTCTTCCTGAGATATTTCAATTTCTCTGGCCGTAACGAATCGAAGGATCAGGACGCGTGATGTGTGTCGCAGTTGTGAAATTCTGACCGGGATTTCAATTTTACCAGCATTGACGAAATGGCCTCGGAAGATCTACCCTCAATAATCGACACTATTCTGAAGATAACGGGAAAAGAAAAACTGCAGTATGTCGGATGGTCGCAAGGAGCGCTGCAAATGTTCGCACTGCTTTCCGAAAAACCAGAATACAACAAAAAGGTAACTTGAAAAATACGTCCATGGTGTTTTACGCCCTAGTCTTTATGAAACCCTGACACGAATATTGAACGGAGATAAGAGTGCCTACTATGAGTTTTTTTAATAAGGTCGAAAGCCTTCTATGTCCCACTGCGTGCAAAGGCGGCGTTGGCGTTGTGCTCGAACGATGGCCTTAAAAACACGCCATCAAGCACGCGCCGCTCAAGGTCAAAGCGGACGCGCCTCAGAAAAAAAAAACAAAGAAAAGCACAGCAACTATACTGCAAAATCTCATTTGTATGAGCAGTTTCTGTCCAATAAAAACATGTGAATCATTCAATATATATAAGATATAAGAACCATATAAAAAAAACTGTGAGATGTATCTCATATGTTTCTCATATGGTTCCTATATGTCATAATATATCTTATTAGGTCTTATTACGGTTCTTATACGCTTCTTATATCTTGATATATATCATGTATGATTCATATGTGTTAATTGGTCACAAGAAATTCCTCATACAAATGGCTTTTTCCCTAGGGAAGGCAGATGCTTCGTCACGGAAGCCGTGGAGCCGGCGGGGGTGCCGCGCCTGCGCAGTGGGGGAGCGTGACGTCACCGCCAGAGCGCCGTATGCAAAACGAAGACGTGGCGCGCTGCTTGTAGGAATGCGCGGCGTGTACGAAGCCTTTCGATTTCCTACACGTAATTCAGTCTTAAGTGTCTTCGGCGTGTTTTAATACGAGGGAGAGTCAAAAAGTAAGCGCAATTTATTGTTATTTGCGTGGTAGCATAGATATCATGAAAAGCCCTTGAATATTTTGAACATAGTCACCACCTCGCTCAATACATGCGCTCCAACGCTTCACCAGTGCATTGATGCCGGGGGAAAAAAAATTATTGTGGCTTACCCCGGAGCTAACTATGCACGGCCGCTCTCAGGTCATCATGCGTATCAAACATTTTTCCCCCAAAAGCCCCTTTGGAAGGTACGAATAAGTAAAACTCACACCGTGCAAGGTCTAACGAGTATGGTTGGTGCGGAATTAAGTCGAACCGCAGTCCATTGATTTTTTCCCGCTGTCTTACATGCCGTGTGAGGGCGCGCATCGTCGTGCTGCATCAACATCCCAGAGCTCAGCAATCCGCGACGCTTTGACCTGATTGCAGGATTCAAGTGGTTCTCAAGCAGGTTGCAGTATGTTGCATTGTTCAGAATGAGTCCCTTCGGCATAAAGGCCCAATAGTCACTGGAGACTATTGGACATTTATGGTCCCAAAAGACCTTAAACATTACCTTGGCCAGCGTTGGCACTATCTTGAAGTTCTTGGGCCTTGGTCACGTCGTGTGTCACCACTTCTTGCTTGCTCGTTTGGTCTCTCGCTGGGCGTACAGTCTAAGAAATGCCTGCGCGTCTACTTACCCGCAAAACTCTCGAAGAGCCAATCACTGCGATCTAGGAAATCAACTCAGCGAATGATGAGGCGAAACATCTGTTTAGACATCAAAAGTAAGTCTGCGCTTTGGCATTATGCAATGCAAGCAGAACGCTTTGCATTGCGTAATGCCAAAGCGCAGACTTCACTTTTAGCTCTAAACGGATGTTCTGCCTCATCATTTGCTGAGCTGATTTTTTAGATCTTAGAGATTGGCTCTTTTAGTGTTTTGCCGGTAAGTAGACGCGCAGGCATTTCTAAGAGTGTAGTGTACCTAGCATTCATCACCGGTGACAATGCTTTACGAAAATCATCTCTCTCAGCTTGGTAGCGTCGCAGTAGAGTCTGACAAGCTGACACACGCCGCTCCTTATGGTGCGACGTACGTCATATTAGTACCCACCTGGAAGATACTTTGTGGTAATGCACAATATAATTTTTTGTATGCTACATCAAGCCGTAATGAATATTCAATTCTTCAGCCAGTTCTTCAATGGTGACACACCGGTTCTCGTGTATGAGACGTTCCACTGCAGAGATTGCGTCCGGCGTAGTCGAAGTGTGAGCCCGTACGAACCATGGTGCGTCCGTCAAACTGAACGCTCCACTTAAAACATCTTGTTCTATTCGTAGACCTGCCGAAGCGGTACTCAGGCGTCTCCGTACTGGTTGAGCATCCTGCGATGAATATCCGCTTGTTTTTCGCCCTCTGCGCCCAAACATCATATAACCGAACGATTTTCCTCCCTGCTACATGCGAAAAAAGGGGCGGCAATTTTGAAAGTCCTGTGGTCACGTGACAGTTCACATCAAGCCGCGAGGCCGGCGTGCCAGCTCCTTTATGTGGTATGTCAAAATATATTTGCAACGCAGCGGTATATCACTAGATTTCATATTCTCACGGCTAAATCGCTGTTACTTTCTGACTCTGCCTCGTCCTTATTAAGGAATAATAAAATCGATAAGAATTGGGAAAAGGCGCTTCCAATTCCGTATGTTTATTTTGCTTATTTTTTAGCAAACTCGAAGTTTGGCATTATAGTTTAACCTTTAGATCAATTTCTAAGTTTTTCATAACTTTTGTTTGTGCAAAACAAATTTCGTATATTTGCTGCTTTTTACTTTGACGGGAGTTCCAGGTACAATATAGTAACCAATGTAGTACATTTTTCAACACAGTGAATATTTAGGTCTACAGTATAATGATAAATAAAACCTACTACAACGATCTATTCCTGAGGATCAGTTAAACACATTAATTGCAAATTTAGTGGGAATACAAGGTTTTGTTTTCTATGAAGCGTTTCACTCTGCCAAAACATTGTCAAAAAAACCAAGCCGAAACTAAAGGGAAAAATGACAGTATTGGTTTTTTTCTTTATTTACAATATCTACAATATATTAGACATCTTCGAACATGGATGAGTTTCTGACTCAAGCACCTTTGTCTCGTCACCCAAAAAAGTCAACAGTATCGCCGTTCGCAATGGAGCATCATTAAAGTGTAAAAAAACGCGACACTGCTAGCAAGCATGCCACAGACTTTTTTGGCATTGTGTTTCTATCACCCTGCTCTAAGTTACGCCTTGAAGGATATACGCAAACAGAAAAATGCTTAAACGGCCTGAATCGAAAACCGATGTTATGAAATAAATGTACACCGAGAAAAAATTTGAGCTACATATACGGTACGATACGATTTTTTGTTGTTGTTGTTTTTGTCAAGCGGGTTGTAACGGTCGTTCTTTACACTGTTCCCTCTCGCGCTACTGCACTTCGCTTGAAGGAGAGGCAAGGCGCTTGGATTGGCTTGGCTACTCGTCTGAAAGCGTAGGCAAGCCTCTTGGACTTGTGCAAAACTTGGGCTCCCGCTGTGTTCTTAGGTGGCTGTGCTGATGGTGGGAGCAACGGTAGTCTGCGTATTTTGAGATGAATCCGGATTTTAAGCGTAGACTTCTCGACCACATCAAGCAGATAGGGCTTCGTCCCTACGACGACACGCCTCGGACACCAGCGAACCTCTTCGCAAAAAGCTCCGAGGCCAGCAATGTGCCCTCGTACAGCGGTGCAGGCGGGTCACAGCTCCCGCTCAAGTCGTACCAGTCTAAAACGAAAGTAACGATTTTTTTTATACTTGTTGTTTCTGAAACATTAAAATTAATTAGAAAAGATAAGTGCAATAAAAGAACGGAGATTAATAAGTAACTTTTAGAGCCCATAGGAGGCTCTCGAAATAGCGTAAACACCAGATGGCTTGTGGCCAGTCACGTAAAGGCTAGTTGTCAATTTTTCGCGGTAGTCAAGTACAAATTATTTTTGTGCCGTAAATACAGCTCTAAACAAATCTGTGTTTGGATGTACATTTATTTTATTGCATCCTTCATCCATCTAGCCTTTTTTACGAATTCCTGTAATCTTTTGCATATGTCCTTTAAAACTACTAGATCGAAGGAACCCACTTATGCAAGAAGCCGCCTTCACCCAATATCGACTGAAATGTGTTTGGCTCATACCTTAATTATTAAAAAAAAAAAAAAAAAGTAAAGTTGTTTCGAGTTCCTACCTCCATTGTCGCGATTGTCCGCGTGCTCTAAGCATCATGAAAAAATATTCCTTCATGCGCGGCCGAGGTTGTTTATTAAAAATTTGATCAAAGATCCCGACACTTACCGCTGGCGCAGGACGACAGACGGTGCTACCGAACCTTACTGACTATGGTCCAACGACGGACGCCGCTTGTGAGCGTTCTGCACCGACGGTAATTGTCGGGAGCTTTGAGCACTTTTAATACGCAACCTCGGTCGCGCAGGATTGTAATTTTTGGCTTTTTAAAAGGCTAATAGCTATTAGAGTGAATTATGGCCATAAAACGATTATCTCGAGAAGCACGTTAGTGTGCCTTTAAGGAATAAATCATCTCGATGCCGTGCGCAGGATAACGATTTGAAGCTTAATAGTTTTCGCTGGAATTGTATATTTTTTATATTTCATTTTCAGATCAGTTTGATCAGTGTAATTGGACCTGTAACCTATCTCGGGCATGTACGCGCCCCCCTTAGACTTGCTGTTCCATTTGCAGATTTGATTGCAGTGAGTATAAAACATATATTTCTGTTTCCTCTCAAAACGTGTTACACACAAGAACTACGCAGAATATCGTGAACGAATAGATACGAATGGGTTGTAGCGTGAACGTCTTCATGCACTTCCCTAGGTTTGGTGTTTAGAGATGTAGTTCTGAGCGCATTTCATTCCAAGCGTTCCTCAGATCACAATGTAAGAACTTGAAATTTACAGCGAAGATAAGTGAACGTTTGCCCTAGAGCAACATTTAGGCCATACTATAGAAGAGACTTGAGAAAAACACAGTGCGCAAAAAGGTTTCTTTTTTTCGAATATTTAACTTATAGGTATGCACAGTGCGCAGCACTTTAAGGTCCTGTCTGTGTCAATGGAAACGAACAATTGCATAATAAATATAGCGTACGGGACATCGTGTTTAACCCGGAAGAAAAGGCAGGTGACTTTTCTGATCATCGCTTAATTATCAGGATTTCTGCCATTGAACCACAGCAAAAAT